GATAGACCCAAATAGGCTAGACAGGCATTGGCTGAGGAATCCACCGCCATCTTTGAAGAGAGCAAGTGGGAAGGTCGTCAGGATCAGCTGTACAATGACGCTTGAGTAGAGAAATACATTCGGACACTTTTGAGACTGAAGGTGGCTCCATATTTACAGTCCACCTTTCCGTTGAAGACCAGGTTTCTGGATTGGAGGTAGCAGATTGCCAGCTGAATTGCTGCTCGAAGTACTGCACCCAGCGGTCCAAACGTTCTGCCTTGTTGCATATCAGGGAGCCATTTTAGTCCCTTATTATTTCGCTGACAAGAGGTTTCCGAGGACCAGTCGAATGAATCGAGTGGAACAATTTGCGCATCCTTTGCATCTTCCATTTCTTCGGCCTTTCGGGTCCACCAAACTTCTCGGTCTGCGCGGACACTCATTCTCACCTGGAGTTGGATGATGCGTGGGTGGCGGCCAGGTGGAATCTATCGCCGGGTCTCCAGCAAAGACAGGGTCCTATCAGGGATCCAATGCTTGGATGGGGGTGACTGGGTCGTACCGCAAACAGACATTCCGGTTTTGAGTAGCGCTTAGGATATCTTTTCCAAGTGGTCGTTTATATCCAACAAGGTACCGTTTGGCAGACATTCGAGTAGCCGGTTCTGATAGTTTCGTTTGACTTCTGTGTCCACTGGCTTCTCGATGGGTACGCGAGGTGTGCGCGTTTTGTGTACACCTGAAAAGCGCAGTGAAAAGCAGAGGCGTACAAGTGCATGGTCAGAGTCCACGCTGGTGTTCCAGAAGGAGCGGCAGCCGGTGATTGACCCTCAACAACGATAACTGACAGCGATGTACTCTGTCTGGATTCGGCGCTGGTTTGATGGTGGGCACCACGTCAAGCGATTTCCGCTGTTCCGGAAATTCGTACTGCACAGGAACAGCCTGTGGTCGGCACACATCTGAAGTAACCGGTCTCCGTTGTCCGTGCGTCTCGTGTCCAAACCAAGACGGCCACCCAATCGGGTCTCAGCAGCGCTTAGTCTACCTACCTGGGTGTTCATATCGCCAGCAACCACAACGATATATGAGCTTTTAGCCTGTTGTAGAAGGGCACCTAGAGTGTCATAGAAACTGTCCTTGGCAGTATCAGAGCAACATTCAGTTGGGGCGTAAGTAGACACAATAAACAAGGTGCGATGAACCTCACTTTCTCTGGATTCTCACAGATGTTGCCAAACGAATCGCACAGAGGCGACTATCAACGGGTATCCAATCAAGCAGAGACGCTTCCGCTCGTTCGCTCAATACAATACCCACCCCAGCACATCCAGCTGCAGTGGCCTCTGCATCACCAGAGGTGCGCAGTCGGAACCTGGAAGAGAGCGAGGGGGCAGTCAGTTCGATTACAGCACTTGCATCCTGTGTCCTTATTTCGGACAGACAACATACATCAATACAGAGGGAATCTAGCGTACGCGCAAGAGCCACCTGTTGACCTGCTTGCTTC